CCCCCGCGTCACCTAAAAGCACCAACTGGGGAGGGGGGTTGTTTGCTGGGTACTGAACCCCTAGTTAGTTGTAATAACTTCTGGGTGTTGTTGTTTGTTAAAACCCCGGAGTTTTAGGTTTTTGGTAAAGGGAAAAAATTGTTTTCGAAACCTTTTGGGGTGGTTTTTGGGTTTTGAAAACATTTGGTTTTGATCCAAACGTCTGGGTAAGTTTTTTGTGTGTATACCCGATTTGGGTTTTCATACAATTTAAATGTGTTTTTTTGAATAATAGTCGGAGGTTTTGTTAGTAGCTTTTTTGTTTTTTTACTAACGCTGGTATGTTTTCGTGTCAGACTAACGTCTGGTAGTGTGCTGAATGTTGTCAGTACTAACGTCTGGGTAGTGTGTTTGTAGTTGACAGTGACTACACGTTGGTGTAGTGTGTGTTGGTTTGTCCAGTACTAACGTCTGGGTAGTGTGTGTTTGTTTGTCAGTCACTAACGTCTGGGTATGTGTGTTGCTTGTCAGTACTAACGTCTGGGTAGTTTTTGGTTTTGTCAGTACTAACGTCTGGGTAGGGTGTGTGTTGTTTTTCAGTATAGACTTTTGGGTAGTTGTGGGTTGTCCACTAACGTCCTGGTAGTGTGTTGTTGTTGTCAGTACTAAACGTTCCGGTAGTGTGTGTTGTTGTCATACTAACGTCTGGGTAGTGTTTGTTGTTGTCCAGTACTAACGCTGGTATGTGTTGTCTCTGTCAGTACTGAACGTCTGGGTAGTGTGTGTTGTGTCAGCACTCACTCTGGGAAGTTCTTCCTGTTGTCATTACTAAACGTCTGGGTAGATAAGTCTGCTTGTTGTCAGTACTAACGTCTGGGTAGTGTTGTTTGTTGTCAGACAAACGTCATGGTACGGTTTGCGTATGTAGTACTACGTCTGGGTAGTATGTGTTTTGTGATCAGTACTAACGCTGGGTAGTGTGTAGCTTTTGCAGTACTAACGTCTGGGTAGTGTGTGTGTCTTGTCCAGACTAACTCTGGGTTATGTGTGTTGTTGTCAGTATACGTCTGGTATTGTGTTGTTGTTGTCAGTACTAACGTCTGGGTAGTGTGTGTTGTTGTCAGACTAACGTCTGGGTAGTGTGGTTGTTGTCAGTACTAACGTCTGGGTATGTGTTGTTGGTTGTCAGCACTAACGTCTGGGTAGTGTGTGTTGTTGTCAGACTAACGTCTGGGTAGTGGTGTGTTGTTGTCAGTACTAAGATCTGGGTAGTGTTGTTGTTGTCAGACTAACGTCTGGGTAGTGTGTTGTTGTTGTCAGTACTAACGTCTGGGTAGTGTGTGTTGTTGTCAGTACTAACGTCTGGGTAGTGTGTGTTGTTGTCAGTACTAACGTCTGGGTAGTGTGTGTTGTTGTCAGCACTAACGTCTGGGTAGTGTGTGTTGTTTGTCAGCACTAACGTCTGGGTATAGTGTGTGTGTTGTGTCAGACTAACGTCTGGGTAGTGTGTGTTGTTGTCAGTACTAACGTCTGGGTAGTGTGTGTTGTTGTCAGCACTAACGTCTGGGTAGTGTGTGTTGTTGTCAGCACTAACGTCTGGGTAGTGTGTGTTGTTGTCAGTACTAACGTCTGGGTAGTGTGTGTTGTTGTCAGTACTAACGTCTGGGTAGTGTGTGTTGTTGTCAGCACTAACGTCTGGGTAGTGTGTTGTTGTTGTCAGTACTAACGTCTGGGTAGTGTGTTGTTGTTGTCAGTACATAACGTCTGGGTAGTGTGTGTTGTTGTCTAGTACTAACGTCTGGGTAGTGTGTGTTGTTTGTCAGTACTAACGTCTGGGTAGTGTGTTGTTGTTGTCAGTCACTAACGTCTGGGTAGTGTGTGTTGTTGTCAGTACTAACGTCTGGGTAGGTGTTGTGTTGTTTGTCAGTACTAACGTCTGGGTAGTGTGTGTTGTTGTTGTCAGTACTAACGTCTGGGTAGTGTGTTGTTGTTGTCAGCACTAACGTCTGGGTAGTGTGTGTTGTTGTCAGTACTAACGTCTGGGTAGTGTGTTGTTGTTGTCAGCACTAACGTCTGGGTAGTGTGTTGTTGTTGTCAGTACTAACGTCTGGGTAGTGTGTTGTTGTTGTCAGCACTAACGTCTGGGTAGTGTGTGTTGTTGTCAGTACTCACGTCTGGGTAGTGTGTTGTTGTTGTCAGTACTAACGTCTGGGTAGTGTGTGTTGTTGTCAGTACTAACGTCTGGGTAGTGTGTTGTTGTTGTCAGTACTAACGTCTGGGTAGTGTGTGTTGTTGTCAGTACTAAACGTCTGGGTAGGTGTGTGTTGTTGTCAGTACTAACGTCTGGGTAGTGTGTTGTTGTTGTCAGTAACTAACGTCTGGTAGTGTGTGTTGTTGTGTCAGTACTAACGTCTGGGTAGTGGTGTTGTGTTGTCAGTACTAACGTCTGGGTAGTGTGTGTTGTTGTCAGTACTAACGTCTGGGTAGTGTGTTGTTGTTGTCAGTACTAACGTCTGGGTAGTGTGTTGTTGTTGTCAGTACTAACGTCTGGGTAGTGTGTGTTGTTGTCAGTACTAACGTCTGGGTAGTGTGTTGCTGTTGTCAGTACTAACGTCTGGGTAGTGTGTGTTGTTGTCAGTACTAACGTCTGGGTAGTGTGTTGTTGTTGTCAGTACTAACGTCTGGGTAGTGTGTTGCTGTTGTCAGTACTAACGTCTGGGTAGTGTGTGTTGTTGTCAGCACTAACGTCTGGGTAGTGTGTTGCTGTTGTCAGTACTAACGTCTGGGTAGTGTGTTGCTGTTGTCAGTACTAACGTCTGGGTAGTGTGTGTTGTTGTCAGCACTAACGTCTGGGTAGTGTGTTGTTGTTGTCAGTACTAACGTCTGGGTAGTGTGTGTTGTTGTCAGTACTAACGTCTGGGTAGTGTGTGTTGTTGTCAGTACTAACGTCTGGGTAGTGTGTTGTTATCAGTACTAACGTCTGGGTAGTGTGTGTTGTTGTCAGTACTAACGTCTGGGTAGTGTGTGTTGTTGTCAGTACTAACGTCTGGGTAGTGTGTGTTGTTGTCAGTACTAACGTCTGGGTAGTGTGTGTGGTTGTCAGCACTAACGTCTGGGTAGTGTGTTGTTGTTGTCAGTACTAACGTCTGGGTAGTGTGTGTTGTTGTCAGTACTAACGTCTGGGTAGTGTGTTGTTGTTGTCAGTACTAACGTCTGGGTAGTGTGTGTTGTGGTTGTCAGTACTAACGTCTGGGTAGTGTGTTGTTGTTGTCAGCACTAACTTCTGGGAAGTGTGCTGTTGCTGTTGTCAGTACTAACGTCTGGGTAGTGTGTTGTTGTTGTCAGTACTAATGTCTGGGTAGTGTGTGTGTTGTCCAGTACTAACGTCTGGGTATGTGTGATGTTGATGTTGTCAGTACTAACGTCTGGGTAGTGTGTTGTTGTTGTCAGTACTAACGTCTGGGTAGTGTGTGTGTGTCAGTACTAAGTCTGGTAGTGTGTGTTGTTGTCAGTACTAACGTTGGGTAGTGTGTTGTTGTTGTCAGTACTAACGTCTGGGTAGTGTGTTGTTGTTGTCATACAAACGTCTGGGTAGTGTGTTGCTGTTGTCAGTACTAACGTCTGGGTAGTGTGTGTGTTTGTCGTACTAACGTCTGGGTATTTGGTGTTGTTGTTGTCAGTACTAACGTCTGGTAGTGTGTTGTTGTGTCAGTACTAACGTCTGGGTAGTGTGTTGTTGTTGTCAGTACTAACGTCTGGGTAGTGTGTTGTTTCAGTACTAACGTCTGGGTAGTGTGTTGTTGTTGTCAGTACTAACGTCTGGGTAGTGTTTGTTGTCAGTACTAACGTCTGGTAGTGTGTTGTTGTCAGTACTAACGTCTGGGTAGTGGTGTTGTTGTCAGTACTAGTCTGGGTAGTGTGTTTTGTTGTCAGTACTAACGTCGGTAGTGTGTTGTGTTGTCATACTAACGTCTGGTAGGGGTGTGTTGTTGTCAGTACTAACGTCTGGTAGTGTGTGTTGTTGTCAGCACTAACGTCTGGGTAGTTGTTGTGTTGTCAGTACAACGCTGGGTAGTGTGTTGTTGTTGTCAGTACTAACGTCTGGGTAGTGTGTTTATTTGTCAGTACTAACGTCTGGGTAGTGTGTTTGTTGTCAGTACAACGTCTGGTAGTGTGTTGTTCAGTACTAACGTCTGGGTAGTGTGTGTTTGTTGTCAGTACTAATTCTGGGTAGTGTTTTGTTGTTGTCAGTACTAACGTCTGGTAGTGTGTTGTTGTTGTCAGTACTAAGTCTGGGTAGTGTGTGTTGTTGTCAGATCTAACGTCTGGTAGTGTGTTTGTTGTCAGTACTAACTCTGGAGTGTTGTTGTTGTTGTCAGTACTAACGTCTGGGTAGTGTGTGTTGTTGTCAGTACTAACGTCTGGTATGTGTTTTTGTTGTCAGCACTAACGTCTGGGTAGTGTTGTTGTTGTCAGTACTAACGTCTGGGTAGGTGTGTTGTTGTCAGACTAACGCTGGGTAGTGTGTTGTTGTTGTCAGTACTAACGTCTGGGTAGTGTGTGTTGTTGTCATACTAACGTCTGGGTAGTGTGTGTTGTTGTCAGTATAACGTCCTGGGTAGTGTGTTGTTGTTGTCAGCACTAACGTCTGGGTAGTGTGTTGTTGTTGTCAGTACTAACGTCTGGGTAGTGTGTTGTTGTTGTCAGTACTAACGTCTGGGTAGTGTGTTGTTGTTGTCAGCACTAACGTCTGGGTAGTGTGTTGTTGTCAGTACTAACGTCTGGGTAGTGTGTGTTGTTGTCAGCACTAACGTCTGGGTTGTGTGTTGTTGTTGTCAGCACTAACGTCTGGGTAGTGTGCTGTTGTTGTCAGCACTAACGTCTGGGTAGTGTGTTGTTGTTGTCAGCACTAACGTCTGGGTAGTGTGTTGTTGTTGTCAGCACTAACCTCTGGGTAGTGTGTTGTTGTTGTCAGCACTAACGTCTGGGTAGTGTGTTGTTGTTGTCAGCACTAACGTCTGGGTAGTGTGTTGTTGTTGTCAGCACTAACGTCTGGGTAGTGTGCTGTTGTTGTCAGCACTAACGTCTGGGTAGTGTGTTGTTGTTGTGAGCACTAACGTCTGGGTAGTGTGTTGTTGTTGTCAGTACTAACGTCTGGGTAGTGTGTTGTTGTTGTCAGTACTAACGTCTGGGTAGTGTGTGTTGTTGTCAGTACTAACGTCTGGGTAGTGTGTTGTTGTTGTGAGCACTAACGTCTGGGTAGTGTGTGTTGTTGTCAGTACTAACGTCTGGGTAGTGTGTTGTTGTTGTCAGCACTAACGTCTGGGTAGTGTGTGTTGTTGTCAGTACTAACGTCTGGGTAGTGTGTGTTGTTGTCAGTACTAACGTCTGGGTAGTGTGTTGTTGTTGTCAGTACTAACGTCTGGGTAGTGTGTTGTTGTCAGTACTAACGTCTGGGTAGTGTGTGTTGTTGTCAGTACTAACGTCTGGGTAGTGTGTGTTGTTGTCAGTACTAACGTCTGGGTAATGTGTGTTGTTGTCAGTACTCAAGTCTGGGTAGTGTGTTGTTGTTGTCAGTGCTAACGTCTGGGTAGTGTGTTGTTGTTGTCAGTACTAACGTCTGGGTAGTGTGTTGTTGTCAGTACTAACGTCTGGGTAGTGTGTGTTGTTGTCAGTACTCACATCTGGTTAGCGTGTTGTAAGTACTCACGTCTGGGTAGTGTGTGTTGTTGTCAGTACTAACGTCTGGGTAATGTGTGTTGTTGTCAGTACTCACGTCTGGGTAGTGTGTTGTTGTTGTCAGTACTAACGTCTGGGTAGTGTGTTGTTGTTGTCAGTACTAACGTCTGGGTAGTGTGTGTTGTTGTCAGTACTAACGTCTGGGTAGTGTGTGTTGTTGTCAGTACTAACGTCTGGGTAGTGTGTTGTTGTTGTCAGTACTCACATCTGGTTAGTGTGTGCGTTATTTTCTGTTCTCACGTCTGGGTAGTGTGCTGTTGTCGGTACTCACGTCTGGGTAGTGTGTTGTTGTCAGTACTCACGTCTGGGTAGTGTGTTGTTGTCAGTACTCACGTCTGGGTAGTGTGTGCTGTTGTCAGTACTCACAACTGGGTAATGTGTTGTTGTCAGTACTAACGTTTGGGTAGTGTGTTGTCAGTACTAACGTCTGGGTGGTGTGTTGTTGTCAGTACTAACGTCTGGGTAGTGTGTTGTTGTCAGTACTAACGTCTGGGTAGTGTGTTGTTGTCAGTACTAACGTCTGGGTAGTGTGTTGTTGTCAGTACTCACATCTGGGTAATGTGTTGTTGTCAGTACTCACGTCTGGGTAGTGTGTTATTGTCAGTACTAACGTCTGGGTAGTGTGTTGTTGTCAGTACTAACGTCTGGGTAGTGTGTTGTTGTCAGTACTAACGTCTGGGTAGTGTGTTGTTGTCAGTACTCACATCTGGGTAATGTGTTGTTGTCAGTACTCACGTCTGGGTAGTGGTGTTATTGTCAGTACTAACGTCTGGGTAGTGTGTTGTTGTCAGTACTAACGTCTGGGTAGTGTGTTGTTGTCAGTACTCACGTCTGGGTAGTGTGTTGTTGTCAGTACTCACGTCTGGGTAGTGTGTTGTTGTCAGTACTCACATCTGGGTAGAGGCCAATATTCAGAACACTGCCGGCACCATCAGTGTCTTGGTCAGTACTGGGGTACAGACACACGCTGCTCCCGGTATATGACGGTCCACTGTGAAACAGAAAAATATTTTGAAAGTCATTATCACCCTATCAACATTATCTACAAAGATCATTAAGAAGACAATATCAATTAACTTACTGGAGATGACAGAAGATGGGGTTTCGATCCGTCCAGGGAGGGATCGAGAGGTCGTCTGGTTACACCAAGCTTCGGTCTCCGATGAATGGAGAGATACTTCGTCTGGTTGCGTCTCCAATATGTATATGACTTACAAATCGTTCAGTCGTGGAAAAGACTTAATGCTGAGTGATCTAATTCTTGTTACAGGGGGAGAGCTAGTTGCTTACTAGCCTAGACTATGTTATAAAGAGCTAGTTGCTTACTAGCCTAGACTATGTTATAAAGAGCTAGTTGCTTACTAGCCTAGACTATGTTATAAAGAGCTAGTTGCTTACTAGCCTAGACTATGTTATAAAGAGCTAGTTGCTTACTAGCCTAGATTATGTTATAAAGAGCTAGTTGCTTACTAGCCTAGACTATGTTACAGAAAGATAACTAGTTGTTAACTACTTTAGATTATGTCAGAGGGATATTAGTTTCTTACTGAGAAAGTAAATACTGCTAGTCACTGGTGATAATACTACTAGAGTCACTGCTGGTGGTACTACTATTACTAATAATACCACCACTGGTGATAATACTACTAGTGACTGCTTGTGGTACTACTATTACTACTAATACCACCACTGGTGATAATACTACTAGTCACTGCTGGTGGTACTACTATTACTACTAATATCACCACTGGTGATAATACTACTAGGAATGCCACTGCTGGTGATATTACTACTAATGGAAAATGGACACAAATACAAACGTACATTTAGGATGTCCTTACTGAAGACGTGATCAAGGTCCCAGCACTGATGTCTTCTACAAAGGTGTTCTCAAAGTGTACGTATTAGTGTCCGTTTCGTTGCAGGTGTTGGCAGTCTTCTTGCTTCATTACTACTAACGCCGCTGTTTCTAATTCTACTATTGCTTTTGCTACGAAAGTAAGGTGTAGCAGCTTGGAGATAATGTCACTTCTATTAGTGGGCCAACTCACCTCTGACCTCCTCTATGACCTGTTGTTTCTCACTCATTAACAAATAAGTCTGGTCTTGGGCTATATGTTATAGACTAAGAGATTTACATACTCTTTCAACATAGCTTAGAGACTTATTGCCTTAAACTAACTCTCCACTTCGTCTACTGATTGTCTAATACTTTCTGTGTAGTTTGTCTACTGCCTCTAGGATAGTAATTCATCTCTGTTCAACTGATGAAGCCTACAACGCAGACGATACTTTTCGTAATAAGGATACGTATTGTTTGACGTGTTTTATACCTGAAAAAGAGGACAGAACTCACTTGTAGAAGGTCCACGGAGAAATACCCGTCAGGAGGATTGAGGAGACTTCTTTCTGGAGGCTGCCCAGGGAGGCAGTGTCTGTGGTGCCATAGTACTCACTGCCAGAGAAGTACAGATCCAGGTACACCGTCCACGTGTCACAGTTCAGACAAGACGTGCTTCCCCCGTACCTCAGTGAGGAGAACTGCAGGTGAGAGAGAGTGAGAGAGTGAGTGCGTCCCCCGTACCTCGGTGAGGAGAACTGCAGGTGAGAGAGAGAGTGAGAGAGTGAGTGCTTCCCCCGTACCTCGGTGAGGAGAACTGCAGGTGAGAGAGAGTGAGAGAGTGAGTGGTCCCCCGTACCTCAGTGAGGAGAAACTGCAGGTGAGAGAGAGTGAGAGAGTGAGTGGGTCCCCCGTACCTCAGTGAGGAGAACTGCAGGTGAGAGAGAGTGAGAGAGTGAGTGCTTCCCCCGTACCTCAGTGAGGAGAACTGCAGGTGAGAGAGAGTGAGAGAGTGAGTGCTTCCCCCGTACCTCAGTGAGGAGAACTGCAGGTGAGAGAGAGTGAGAGAGTGAGTGCTTCCCCCGTACCTCGGTGAGGAGAACTGCAGGTGAGAGAGAGTGAGAGAGTGAGTGGGTCCCCCGTACCTCGGTGAGGAGAACTGCAGGTGAGAGAGAGTGAGAGAGTGAGTGCGTCCCCCGTACCTCAGTGAGGAGAACTGCAGGTGAGAGAGAGTGAGAGAGTGAGTGGGTCCCCCGTACCTCAGTGAGGAGAACTGCAGGTGAGAGAGAGTGAGAGAGTGAGTGCTTCCCCCGTACCTCAGTGAGGAGAACTGCAGGTGAGAGAGAGTGAGAGAGTGAGTGCTTCCCCCGTACCTCAGTGAGGAGAACTGCAGGTGAGAGAGAGTGAGAGAGTGAGTGCGTCCCCCGTACCTCAGTGAGGAGAACTGCAGGTGAGAGAGAGTGAGAGAGTGAGTGGGTCCCCCGTACCTCAGTGAGGAGAACTGCAGGTGAGAGAGAGTGAGAGAGTGAGTGCTTCCCCCGTACCTCACGTGAGGAGAACTGCAGGTGAGAGAGAGAGTGAGAGAGTGAGTGCTTCCCCGTACCTCAGTGAGGAGAACTGCAGGTGAGAGAGAGAGTGAGAGAGTGAGTGCGTCCCCCGTACTCAGTGAGGAGAACTGCAGGTGAGAGAGTGAGAGAGTGAGTGAGGGGTCCCCCCGTACCTCAGTGAGGAGAACTGCAGGTGAGAGAGAGTGAGAGAGTGAGTGGGTCCCCCGTACCTCAGTGAGGAGAACTGCAGGTGAGAGAGAGAGTGAGTGCGTCCCCCGTACCTCAGTGAGAGAGAACGCAGGTGAGAGAGAGTGAGTGCGTCCCCCGTACCTCAGTGAGGAGAACTTGCAGGTGAGAGAGAGTGAGAGAGTGAGTGCGTCCCGTACCTCAGTGAGGAGAACTGCAGGTGAGAGAGTTGAGAGAGTGAGTGCTTCCCCCGTACCTCAGTGAGGAGAACTGCATGTGAGTGAGAAGTGAGTGGGTCCCCGTACCTCAGTGGAGGAGAACTGCAGGTGAGGAGAGTGAGAGAGTGAGTGCGTCCCCGTACCTCATGAGGAGAACACGAGGTGAGAGAGAGTGAGAGAGTGAGTTGCTTCCCCCGTACCTCAGTGAGGAGAACTGCAGGTGAGAGAGAGTGAGAGAGTGAGTGGGTCCCCCGTACCTCAGTGAGGAGAACTGCAGGTGAGAGAGAGTGAGAGAGTGAGTGCTCCCCCGTACCTCAGTGAGAGAACTGCAGGTGAGAGAGAGTGAGAGAGTGAGTGCTTCCCCGTACCTCAGTGAGGAGAACTGCAGGTGAGAGAGAGTGAGATGATGAGTGCGTCCCCCGTACCTCAGTGAGGAGAACTGCAGGTGAGAGAGAGTGAGAGAGTGAGTGCGTCCCCCGTACCTCAGTGAG